TTCGGGGCGCCGGTTCCCCTGGGAATTCCTCCTGCCAATGTCGGGCAAAGTCCGCCCGAGCCGCCGCCGTCGCCTCCTCGCCCGCTGCCATCCCCGGGCTTCCCCGCCGCCTTCCTCCTCCTCCTCCTCCTCCTTCCGCCCCCCACCACCGCCGCGGGCCCTGACGTCGGCTCCCGCCCGGCCCCTCCGGCCCGCCCCCGGCCGCTCCTCCTCGGCACGGCCCCGACGGGGCGGGGGCACCGCTACCACCTCCCTCCGGCACCTCCCGGCCCGACTCTCTGCAGCCGGATCTCGGCGTCCATTCCTGGAACACGGGAGGAAGCCACCCCCAGGTTAAAGGAACCTCTCTGAGGTAGCGGTGCCAGCATAGCACTCTTGTACCAGCAGCCTTTCCTGCTCGAGGTGCAACCTGGGGTCTCCCAAGGAGCTCCTGACGTGTTAGGAGGATGCTGAGAGGGTCGTGTACCTGCAGCTGGTCTGAGCCCTTCCTGGTGAGGGTCCACCTTGGAGCTCCTGACATGTGCCAGGAGGATGCTGAGTGCTGAGATGAGGTGGTGCCTGCTGCCAGCAGCATCAGAGCAGCGAACCAAGTGGCACAAACCATCCCACGCACTGCAAGGAGCTGCTTCTCAGCCAGCAAGAAGTGAGCCTCAGTGGCACTGAGTAGTGGAAGCTGCCCTATCCCAGCACACGTGCCAGGCTTATGGCTATCAGCATCCCCAGGCTGGTGGTGCTCTGATGATAACACCTGGCACGATGGCACTCTGATAGTGACACCTGGCTTCTTATCAGTGACAGTGACACCTGGCTTGGTGCACAGTGCTTTGCTCCCCACGCCTCACACAGGAATGGTGTTTCCCTTTCGCCAGAGGAGGGAAGTGTAGGTGACTCAGGGTGGTGATTCACAGCCTGTGTCCCTTGTTGCCACCTGGCTGTGGCCCAGCAGGAAGAAAGCACCCTATTCATTTACGTATGATCCCAGGAAGTGTCGCAACAGCCGCCTCCTCCATCCCCAGAGTGGCTGCTCCTGTCCCCACTGCTGTTGCTCCCATGGGGAGGGCTTTGGGGCTCCTCTTGGCACCAGCCTCCCCTTGGGGATTTTGGGAGTTGGGGCCAGTGACAGAAGTGACTCTGGAGCCCAGGTGAGGACAGTGTCCAAATATAATGCCCTGTTCCATGCTGGAAAGACAGCCCATCCCCAGTGCTGAGACCCTCTCAGGAGGTGGAGGGAAGAAGGAGGGGGGGTTGTGAGCGACTGATTTATGTGTGGCGACAGATAATTACAGCCCTTCCATCACCTGTCATGCAGACGGCCCAGCAGAGCTTTACATTGCATTTCTGGATGCCCATCCCAAACCATAAATCTCCCCAATGCAAAGCGATAAATCAGGGGGGCTGAGGGAGCAGCCCCAGGCAGGTGTCCCTCTCCACCTGCCCACCAGTAATGGGCAGGTAGGTAGGAAATGTCCAGGACGAGGTGGGGACACCTGGCGGGCTGTGCTAATTACAGGCAGCAGGTGGCATCCGAAGAGCTGTGATTTATGATCTGGTCCTTCCGAGAGCTGGGGCTGAGTCCCTGCAGGGCTGGGGCCAGCAAAGCTTCATGGATATTGCTGGGGCTCTGGGTGGGATGAAGGTAAGACAGGAGCCATGGGTACATCTATGTGCTCAGCCCTGTGCTGGCTCAACTTCCTGCACCAACAAAGCATCCCCATGGCATCACAGAGTAGCATTTCCTTAAGAAAGGAATGAAATCACCCCCCAGAAAATTAAATTGCTTTTTGTTCCTGAGCTGGGCCTGCAGCTTGCAGGGACTGGGGGACCAGAAGGCCACCGGGAGAACAAGAGGGTCATGGTGAGCACAGGTGGGTGCTCAGAGCTATTTGCAAGCTTCATTTCTCTTTGAAGTCCCACTGCCTCATCCTCCCCGCTCCCCCAGGCCCTGGCTCCTGATTTATGGGGTTTCTGAAGCAGAGGCACCTAAATTAGCTCCCACTTCAAAGAGCCAAGAGAGGAGAAGGGCAATAGACAAATAGCCCCGCTAATTGTAGCCATTGATCAACCCCACTGCGGGATGATCAGATAAGAAGGGATGGATAAAGGGGACCATGTTCTCCCAGGGCTTGGCTTCTGCACCAGTAGCCCCAACAATTTGTCACAATGACTCTCCAGGGCCATTTTTCAAAACATTGTTACCCCGTTGTGCAGGAGGGCATTTAGCAGCTGCTCTCTAATGAAAAGGTGGGCAAAAGGGCAGGGAATGAAACTGCAAGCAGCCCGGCCCTCCTGTTGACCTCCATCCCATGGCTGGGAGACCCATGGGGAATAAGGAGATTTAGGAAACAAGCTGTGGGAAACGAGATCTGGGGCAAAAGGAGCCTCATCATCTCCACCAACAAGGGCAAATATGGGCAGACCCAGCAGTGCTCCCAGCAGCAGGAAGGCAGGAGGCAGACGGCGCTGCAGCTCCTTTGCCACCTGTCCAGTGATGTGGCACTGAGGGACGAGGGTAGTGGGCATGGTGGGGGTGGTCCGAGGCTGGACTTGGCAATCTGAGAGGTCTCTGAGTGGGAGCATCCTCTGGGCAGGGCCGGCACCTGGGGGCTGGGATGGAGCCACGTGACAGCGGTGGGGTTTTTAGGGCTGGCTGCCTGACCCCAGAGCAGTGTGTGGCAGCCCTGGGGAAGGCAGGACCACAAGAGCACCTCGCCCCATCCTGCTCACCACAGCCATGTCCCGAGCAGCTGCAGCACGGCTGGGAGAGCCTGATGGCTCAGAAGAGGAGCTGGAGGTGGGGGCAGCACCGCGAGCATGCTGCAGGCAGAAGATGTGGATTCCTAAGGGGAGGAATGCAACCGCCTGCCTGGGGGACACCGAGGAGATGAAGGTGAGGAAGAGGAGCAGGCCGGCACGCTCCAAGGCCAGGAGGATGGCAGCCAACGTGCGGGAGCGCAAGAGGATCCTGGATTACAACCAAGCCTTCAACGCCCTGCGCCTGGCCCTCAAGCACGACCTCGGAGGCAAGAGGCTCTCCAAAATCGCCACCCTCCGGAGAGCCATCCACCGCATCGCTGCTCTGTCCCTGTCCTTGCACTGCTGGCCCTGCACCCACTCCGAGTGCCGCAGGCAGGGCGTGCGGGACGGCCACCTCGTGCCCCCCAGTGCTGTGGGTTACGGCTGCCATCCTCCCGAGAGCCAACTCCAGTGCTATGAGAGCCCGCAGGAGGATCGCCCAGCAGCCAGCCCTGTGTTTTACCCCGTGGGGAGTCAGCAGAAGCACGCAAGCAACCCTCAAGCCCTCCCTCTTGCACCGCTCCCCTGGCAGCTGGGGGGGTTGCAGAGCTCTGGCTTCCAATGCTTCCCCATCCACTGAGCCACAGAGCGGGGAGGGCGAAGCGGTGCCGGGAAGGTAACAAAGCGGGGCGTGGGATGGGACTGTGTGTGAGCAGTGGGACGTGGAGCTCAGCTGAGGTGCCGTGAGCCCAGCAAAGCCTGGAAACTCAGCTGGGAAGCGTGGAGGAGGTTGCTTTGTGCTCGAGGAAGGGCCAGCTCTGCAGTTTCTTTTCTTGTGAGGTTTCTCTGCTGGAAATTGTGACCGTTATTTATTCTCTTTTGCTTGCTTTGTGAGAAAACATGACTTAAAAACCCAGCATCGGGGCACTGGCTGTTACTGTGTGTGAGGTGGACAGATGGTGTGTGTGGATCACACTAAAGACCCTGGCTCTGGTTCCAGCTGATGAATTAAGGGAGCAGGGGCTGGGAAAGGTTAACTCGGTTGTACTTTTAATGCTAAACCCATTGGTGCACATATTGGTACACAGACAGATTTGTAAGCCTGGACCAGGAGGGAAGAGAGACAGATGTCTGCCTTTGGAAAACCCGTGCTTCCTCCTGGTGACTGCAAAGTGGATCTCTGGGATGATCTGGTACCGAGCTCCTGGCTGGGACAGGGGAGGGCTCAGCCCTCAGCTCCTCGTGTGCCAGCCTTCCTCCTTTAGACCCAGGGTGGGGTGGGGGAGCTGGGAAATGAGCCTGGCAGAGGAAAGCCCGTAGCAGCCAGGAGAGAGAGCTCTCTGCTCAGCAAAGGATCCTCCTCCAAGCGCTGCCTATGTGAGACATCTTGGCTTTCATCTCCGGCAGATGTTCCCCTTTCCAGGAGGGCTGCAGCCATGGCTGCTGGAGGAATCCTATGTCTCCTATCAGCATCCCCTGCTATGCAGCGAGGCTCTGCCTGTGTCCAGCGCTCATACACCGTGGTGTGAGCTCAGGAACACCAGGATCCAGAGATGTGAAAGCCAAACCAAACCCACGCCCACCCTAGCACTAATCCCTCTCCATCACAATTCTATTTTCAGTTTTTACCCCACATTTTGGTGTTAAAGCAAAACGGATGGAAATAAATGTTCGGAGAGATGAGAGAACAGGAAAGACAAAACACTTGAGACCATCGAGGCTCCCAGCTTCACGGTTATAAATGCGGATCACTTTTCTGTCCGGAGGCTGCGGGGTGTGGGGTTGCCGGTGGACAGCGGCTCTTCGGGTCCCCACGGAGTGACAGCCGGAGCGGGGCGGGCACACAGGTGGCACTCCGCGCCCGGGAATCCCCCAGCGAAACGGGGAGGGAGAATTCGGAGCCGGTGGCGAAGAGCCGCCGCCTGGTGGGCAGCCACCACCCTCCCTCCCGCCCCTCGCACCCGCTGCTGTGTCCGGGGATCCGAGCGCGGGGGGCTCCGCGGGGCGGGACGGAACCGCGCGGAGGGTGGGTGGGTGGGTGGGAGGATCCCACGGGGGGTTTCCCTCCCGCCTCGGCCCTTCGCATCCCGGCGAGCATCCCTTCCTCGGGAGGAACCGAGCCAAGCCGGGGGCGGTGCGCTGCCCCGCTCCTGCCCCGCGGGCAGAGCCCCGTTGGCCCCTCCTCCGGCACGGCCTCCCGCGGGGCGCCGAGCCCCGAGCGCAGAGCGGCGGTGGCGGGGCGAGCTCCGAGCCCGCTCCGCCGGGCCATGGCGAGCGGCGACGCCGCGCCCGCGGGCTCGGGCTCCGGCTCCGGCTCGGGCACGGTGCTGCCCAGCCGCCTCCAGGAGACCGAGAAGCTGCTGGCCGCCACCGAGGGCCGGGAGGGCCTCCGGGGCTCCAAATCCTTCACGGCCGCGTTGGCCGGCGAGGTGGAGCGCAACGGGCACGGGCTCTCCTACAAGTCGGTGTCGGTCGGGCACCTGGAGGCGGCTCCGCTGTCGCCGTCCCGGCTCAGCCTGGGCAGAGCCTCCTCCACCGCCACCAGCACGGCGGCTGCCGACCAGGGCCGCCCGCGGGACTACCTGGTGCTCGCCATCTTCTCCTGCTTCTGCCCCGTTTGGCCCATCAACGTGGTGGCCCTCGTCTTCTCCATCATGGTGAGTGCGGCCCCGACGGGCGGCACCGGGCTGCGGCGCTGTCCGCGGTGCTGCGGCGGCTCGGGGCGGGGAGCGACCGGGCGGGGCTCGGAGCTCGGAGCTCGGGATCACAGATCGGTTCTTGGGGCTTAGGGCTCGAATTTCGGGGCTCAGTGATCGGATCTCGGGGCTCGGAGCTCGGAAGGGTTGTGCTGCTGCTTCCATACCTCGACTGGGGTTCCCTGGGATGGCTCACGGAGGAATGGAGTGGGACAGCCCGGGCTGTTGGATCCGGGATTCAGGATACGGGATTTGGGATGCACAATGTGGGATTTGGAAATACGGGATTTGGAATTCGGAATGTGTGGTTTGGAATTTGGGACGTGGGTTCATTTAGGATGCGGGATTTGGGATGCGGTTTGAGGCACGCCCTGCCCTGACTCCATGCCCTCTCCTCTCCCGGTGGCCATGAGCAGCCCAGTTCCCAGCTGGGATGGAGCAGCGAGGCACGGACGAGGTCTCTCCCTCTCTCCGCCCCTTAGCAGCCCAACCCAACCCTGCAGCACCGGGGGGACCCGGGCGGGGGGCTCGCTTCTGCCCTTAGACACTTCAAAGGGAAGAAGGCTGCACCTGCAGCTCCCACATTTGTCCCGAAAAAGCAATTTTCTCCATTAAATATCCCCCACACCTCAGCAAACACACCGACATCAGAGCAGAAGAGAAGAAAGGCAGCCGCCTCCCACTTGTCTCAGCAGAGCCTCGCGAGCACGGCCACCCCCTTCCCCTGCTGCTGCACAGCCCCCGGCCAGCCTCCCCACCAGGCGTTTGCAACGGAGGCAAATCTCGTCTTTGAAAACGCTCAGGGAAAGCCATCCCCTGCTCTCCACCCAAAATACAGAGGCGTCATTCCCCCACAGCACAGAATCAGAGATGTGCAGCTGCCTGCAAACCTGCGTGGCACCCGGGTACCCTTCATGCTGGGGGGTGGGCAGCCTCCCTGCGGTGTGCCGACTTCCCTCTAGCTCTGCAATTGTGTTTTTTCTTTTCCTAAGACAATGCTTTTTTTTTGCACATGAAAGCTTTGCTGGGCGATAAGCGGCAAGCAGAGAGGGAAGCAAATGAATGCTTTGTGGAGTTAGTGTCTCATAAATCATTATTTTTTTTCCAAACGCTGCACTCAGATTCCAATAGGGGCCAGGGCCAGGGAAACAAATAAGCTCCAGCCCCTGGGCCTTTCCTGCTCCTGGTGGTCGTGGGGAAATGAGCACTTGGTGGCTTTTCCACTGCTCCTGGGGTGCATCTGCTTGGAGAAGAGCCAGAGTCCCATGGGAGTGCAGAGCTCGCCTAACAGCACCCAACAGCAGGAGCAGACCAAGGGGAGCGAAACACAGAGTGAGAACCCACCCCGAGTGAAACAGTGTGCCCCAAACCCACACTGCTGCTACAGAGCGGTGTGGGAGAAGTCAAACTGTGTGTTATCCATGTAAATGGTGCATTCATCCATCTCAGTCTGGTGATGATTTATACCTCCCGTGGAATGTTTTCTTCAACCAAATGCAAGTGTGGAGGATTAATGACTGATTCTGAGTAATGGGTGGCACTCAGCAGAGCACATCCAAAGCCAGTTCGTAGATGGAGAGAGGCTGCAACCATTTGTCTTTCTGTCCCTGGGACTGGCACAGGGTGGCTCTCCTGATGGCACTCACCTGGCTCCATGCATTTTGCTGTGGGTCCCTTCCAGCCCCAGCTCTGTGTTGGGTTGTGTTCCCTAAAAGGTTCCCCGTGACACAGAGTCCCTTAGCGCCATGCTGGCATGTTGCCCTTTGGGGCTCCTCTGCGTCTCGATTAATAAAGAAAATGGTCATGGTTTTATGGAGAATGAAAATCACAGGGTGGCTGATAGGAAGCAGCTATAATCAAACCGTTCCAATGAATAATATATGTGCAGGACCAAATGCTTGCTAAACACGCCACGCTGATGCTGATGCATTTTTCAGAATTGTTCAGGATAAACGATCACTGAACACTTCCAGAAGCTGTAGTGATAAATATGTCGAATCTGTTAGCCCATATATTTTCCTTGGAAGACAGCTAGAGCTGCAAATATGTTTCACCGCAATCTAACCCACACCCTGCAGAAACATTACACTTGGTTACAAACATCTGAGCCTATAAAAATCCCAAATGCCGGGAGCTGTCAGCGAGCAGCTCAGGGACTCCATTTATCCCTGCATGGCTGTGTTCTCCCCTGTCCCTCTGCACCATCCCATGGGGCTTCATTTCCTCCCCTCCTGCTCTGCAGCGCAAACTAGCTCTTGGCTGTGTACCGCTGATTTTTGGGGTTGTCTGCCAGGTGGGCTGTAGGGAACCAAAGGGAGTGAGGTCTTGAGCTCAACATCAGTGCAATGGTTTGGCCATGTGATGCCAGATCGCTGTTTATGGGGTGATGCAAGCTGAGGGCATTGTAAGTAATGGAGTTGCATGGAGTTGGAGCTGTGCTGGCTCTCCCAGCTGCTCGTTTTCTTTTGTTTTCAATACAAGAAAGCTCACACATGGCGCAGTGCATCTGAGATGCACATTTTTGGAAAGGAAAGTGCAATTGTTCGATACTTTTTCATCCTTGATTCTTAATTCTTCTTTGCCCATGTTGCTTCTCTCCCCTATGCCTTTTCCCCACTCCAAGCCCACCCCAAACAGCTGAGATCACTACCAACGGGCCTTACAGCTCCTTATTCTATTTTCCTCCCTCCCAAACCTTTCTCAGTTGGTTCCGCTGAAGGATCCAGCTCCAGCTCTAAGGGCTCCCTCCATCCCCTATGGACCCCAGGCCACCAGTGACTGCCTTCCCCATCCCACCCCCCAGTTAATGAATCACTTCGGGGACCCAAGTCCCAAATCCCAGTTGTTTATTTTTCCATAAAAGCTCCAGAGAGGGGTGGTTGTTGCTGGTCAATGCCTCTCATCCCAGGCCAGGGACCTCTCACCCAAATGCAGACCTGAACCCATTCATCGCCATCTTGGGGGGACAGGGGACAACCAATCGGCCGAGATCCAATCCATGTCCCTCGGTGGCACAGCTGCTGAATTTTGGGGCTGCAGTCTCTCTCAGGAGCCTCTCTCTATGCTTCCCCCCAGTCGCGGAACAGCGGGCAGCAGGGGGATGTGGATGGAGCCCGGCGCCTGGGCCGCATGGCCCGCCTGCTCAGCATCGTCTCCATCGTGCTGGGGACCATCATCATCGTGCTCTACGTCTCGCTCAGCGTTCGAGGTAACACCTCCTTCTCATTTCCCCTGCTCAAGCAGTGACCTCTCCTTTTTTCCCCTGTCTGTGGGGCTCTGTGGGCAGTTTATGGGACACTCCTGCCCCTAGGACGCATCATTCCCACCCAGCACGAGGCACTGAGCACTGCTATGCTGTGCTGATATGTCCACCACATGCAATATGTCCCAGAGAAGGAAATGCTTGCAGCAGGAATAGGACCAGAATTTGAGGTCCTCCTCTACTATCCCATAGAAGATCCCCCAGGCAAAAAGTATTTTGGCTATAATACAAGGACTTACCTTAGTGAGGCTGAGGTGGGTTTCTCTGATAGGATAAAAGCAAAGGGACTGAGGCCACAAGTCAGCCTGCCCAGTGGTGCCATCCCTGGGTGTGTGGGGATCTTCCCAACCACAAAGCCACCTTCTTAGAGCACCTGGGGACATGGGAATGTCACATCTCACCCACTCCATGGCCCAAACCCCAAAGGCATCAGGGGCACCTCTGCTGGAAGTTGCCCTGAAACCCTCTTTCTGTTTTCCAGTTTCCTAGAAGACGTAGCATGCAAATACCTCGAAGAGGAGGAAGACAGCGCTCCTTTTGGGTTTTTTTTTTACTTTCAGCCTTGCAACAAAAACTTGTGACAGCGGAGCCCATCTGGAGGAACGTGCGTGGCTGCTCCACCGCCTTCTGGGGACAAGAGGGGATGGACACACGGCAAGGGGACGAGGGACAAGAACTGGATGTGAGCAGAGAGGAGAAGGGGAAATCCACTACCTCATTCCCCTCCAACAGGGTGGGGAGACCACGCTGGGGGATGGACAGGAGGAGGAGGAGGAGGGAGATTCCAGACTGAAGCTTGTTTGAAGGAAAACCTAAGGGTGGACCGCGGCATTTTGAGGAATCCTCCTAAGGACCTTGGCACTGTCATTTTGGGGGGGGGTTTGTTGCTTTTTAAATCATCGAATTCTGTCTCTGCAAAAACAAACAAACAACAGAAAAAAAACACCCAAAAGCTCAAACTGCCACCAGGAGCGGAGCGGTGTTCCATGCATGAGGAGGGCGAGCTGCAGAGCGCGGCGGTGCTCGGAGATGCGGTGGGTGCTTTTGTATTTTTGATGAGGAAAACAAACAAAAAAAGACAAACAAAAAAGAGACATTGACCATTTGCATGCCTTTGGGAATGTTCTCCCTGTCTGCTCGTCCATCCACGCCCCTCCATCGCTCGCAGATGTCAGGGCTGGCGGAGCAGGGCGCTGCTGCATGGGAGCGCAGCGCTAACGGAAGGGATCACGCTTTCTCTGTGCAACCACACGTTTCCTTCTCCATGCACCCAAAGCGAGGTTAATGCCACTGGCACTGAGCACAGGTCCTGGTTAACCCACAGCGGTGGCACTGAGGGGCAGAGCCCTCCTGCCTGCTGGGTCGTGTTCGTCACACAAGAGCTGCAGCAAGATCTGGCCCTATGGCCGTGCTCATCTCCCCTCGCCTCTTTGGCTCCAACTGAGGGCTCCAGGGGACCTTTAGAGGGATGGAGGAGTTCAGAGTCGTGCTCTTGTCATTACCCATCTTCTGCTCCTTGGACATCTCCAGCACCACTGGAGCGTGCTGGGCTCGGGTCCATGAGTATTATTATTTTTTAACATTTTGTATTTAAAAACATGTAAAGAATGCTGACTTTTTGCTCCCCATGATCGTCCCAAGCCCCGCTGCTCCCAGCCAAGTCTTCCACGCCATGCAGCCCCATCCGACCTCTCTGTTCCCACTGTGGGCTGATGCTGGTGCTGGCATTTCATTCGGCTGTGCAGACTGAGCAAGGTTCCCGTTGCTGTACGTTTGCAGATGGCTCCTGGCTGTGCCCATTGGCTTTGCATTGGCCAAGCCTTTCTTTCAGCAAAACTTTGCTGGTGCAATTCCAAATTACAGACATGGGAGCTGCACCCACAGCCTGCCCTGGGACGGTGGGGTGTTTTGGGGCACCCTACCTGGAAGATCCACAAACCAAAATCAACATGGTCAAGAGCTCTGTCCATCTGGGAGCTGTTGTACACTGTGGTGCACCAAGAGGAGCCCCTGAGCATCCCTGTGCTTGCATCCTTCCCAAACTGGTGAGCATGGGGCACGTGGGAAGGCAGTGGGGAGAGCTGCTGTGCCATAAATCCTCGAACCATAGGGATGTAGACGGGATTGTTCTCTTGTCACTTGTTTAGCTGCTCTTTGTTACACGGTTTCCTTTGGGTAGAGGTAATCTGAACCCAGGGGATAGGAGAGCCAAATTCCTGCACCCACTGTTATGTTTTTCTTTACATTCAAAAGGGGTGCAGGGACTCAGAGCAATAGCACGGTACAACAGCACTTTCCTGGGCTGCCTCCCCACCTGTCCCTCTGCCTGCGTTTTATTGCAAACTGTGAGCTTCTGAAAACGGACCAAATTCAACTCCTGCGTTTGCAACTCATTCCTTGCACACTCAGGGCTGGAGAAGCTCTGTGCTTGGCCGTGTGCAGAGCCCACTGACACCTGATCCCCTGTCCCTCTTGGAAGGGGGATCCCCGAGGATGAGATGGGTCAGCGCGTGGGGGAAACTGCAGCACTTGAGAGCACCAAATGGAGGATGGAACGCTGCCCTGGCATTACACAAAGCCTTCCAGCTCACGGCCTGAAGTGCTTTGCCACGGCTGCAGCCCCGCGGCGAGGGCTGCGCTATTCTCATCGCACAGATGGCAAAGTTGCTCCAAGTCACGTGTGCCAGCAGCTCAGAAAAGAAAACAGTTCTTTCTCCTCAACATAAGTAGGAGGGAATGCATCCGTCCTTTGAATCTGATGCTTCCGGAGGGCTCTTTGCAAGCCAGGACCACCTCGAAGATATACAGAGCAGGACCGGAGGGGCAGCAGAGGCACCAGAAGCATCTGAGTGCAGGAGAGAGCAACAACTTTCCAATAAAAAAACCCCAAAACCATAAAACACAAAGACCCCTCAACTCCTTCCTCTTTTTTCATCTCCTTTCTGGCTAGATACAACTGCGCTGCCCTGCACTCTTCAATACATCTCTGTGCTCCTCATCCCACGCTCAGACACAGTGGAACATCTCTACAGCCAGACGAAATGTTTTCCTTCCTTGCAACCCACCTCCTGTGCTGTACCAGAAGGCTCCCGGGACCCACCAGACCCTTTCCCCACTCTCCATTGAGCTCCCGGTGCGTTCTGCAGCCCGATCCTGCACACAGGACTCTGCAGGAGCTGATCTCTGCAGCACTGTGGTTTCAGCCAGGCTCTTTGTGGGATGCAGTGACCGTAGGGCAGAAGGGATGCACAGCACTCAGTGTCCAACTGATGACTGCTGGTGGAGAGGACCACAAGGGTTTTAGCACAAAGGGTAGAAAACGACAGAAGAGCTTTCCCAGTTTGCTGCATTGGTGATGATTTCCCTTTTTCTAATCATTATTTCCCTCCTTTCCAGTTGCTGCCAATTAAACACCCAACCCCACTCCTGTTCGGTCCAAGCCCAGGATGGGGCTGAGCCACCCCTATGAGCTGCTCCCATCCCCGGTGCCCCCAGCCCCATCCCAACACTTGGCTGCTCATCGCTGCCCAACATGAACTGATTGCAGATTGAATGCCAATTATTTTCTTTCCGCTTGCACTCTTTCATTTTAGCAAAGCTAAAATCTCCCATGCCTGGGGACAAGCCCAGGGGGTGAGGGAGGGAGGGAGAGAGGGAGGGAGGGGAGCAGCCTTTTCAAAGCAAGGGGTGTCCCAGGGCACAGCCCCAATCCTCAGAGCCCAGCTGGAGGAGCGCTCAGCGATGCCATGGACACTCCAGGAATCTCCCTGCTGGTCGACGTTTCTTTTTCTGCGGGATGATATGGTGTACCTTATATACTTCCTTTGTATTTCTTGGCATGAGAAAAGAATTAAAATGTAACATGCATGGTCAAAGCCAGACTTGCTTCTTCTGTCTAAATGAGAACAATATATCAAATTCAAACTGCTCATTTAATTATTGCTCCCCATTCCAAAAGCAATGCAGCATTTTGGCTGTGGTGGCACTGCCACCAGACCTCACCTCTGCAGCTCTGCATTCCACACAGCCAATGAGGAGAGAGCACAGACACATTCCAAACCCAAATCCTCAAATTATTGATCAAAACCACAGATCTCCTGAATGGTAACTGCCCTGAGCAGCCTCCTCCATCTCCTCACTCCTATCCCAAATGGTGGCTGAAGGAAGGAGCTTGACAAAGCTTTGGGCTGTCGGTAGGCAGGGGTAGGACCAAAACCTCCTTTTCTTTCTCAAAAGACAAAAGCTACAGTTGTGGTTTGGGGACCCATCACCCACATGAACACTCAGGCAGCACTCAGACCAGCCCAGCCTTCTCCATGCCCTTCCCCTTTATCACAACACCATCTCCCACTGGGCTCTGCACCATGCTAAGACATTTTGAACCCTGTTTCTTTGCCACGTCCAGAATTTCCCCAGTGTGAATCCTATCACCCACAGCACAGAGTGCTCCCTGTGCCAGGTGCAGTCCTGAAGCAGTGGGCAGATGGAACTCCAGACCTCAGAGGTGGGAGCTGATGGCCTCTGCTCTGCTGTTTTGCTAAGGGGAGGGCAGTGCCAAGTGCTTTCGCTCCTGTTTTATTAATACTCTGCTCTGATGGCTCATGTATAATAGATAGGAGAAGGAACAGCGAAAGGTTTACATCCCATTTCCTTGTGGATATGGTTCTTGCTGAGCACCAAAGGCTCTCCATTCACCACTAATAAGTTTGTGTGATATCTGGGGGTTTGGGTGAAGGACACAAAGTCGGTCACCACTTCCCCAGCTGCTTCCCATGGGAGCTCCCAGTGGAACAGAGGGAGACGTCGGGATTTGCTCTGGCCCCCATAACTCCACACTCAGCCCTTTCCTTCTGCTGGCTGCTGCCGAATCTCCAGGTTTCCTAAAATAGAGCTGTGGGGATTCTCCCCAAGCTGAGCACAGAGATGTGACGACCAGTAGCCCCCATTGCCTCCACTCTGCAGGGCGGTTGGAGCTACCGAAGGACTCCTTACCTTACGAAGCTGCAACAGAGGGGGGAACAGAGCCTTCCCAGCAAAACACCTCCTCCTGCCGAGCTCGTAGGGGTGGCTGGCTACAGCCTGTGGGTCCTAAGGAATTTCTCCCATTATTTGGTCTCAGGTGCCATTCCTCAGAGCCCATTTGTTATACCCTTCCCAGCTCTGAACACCCAAACCCACGCGGCAGCATCCCTCCTACCCATTCCTCCCCCTCCTCCCACAGCAATGAAGAGCTGAAGTATTCCTGGATGAGAACAGATGAACTCATTCATCCCCCAAATGTGAGCTTTGTTTTCCCTTTTTACATTTCCAAGCCAGAACGGAGGTTGGAAAGTCTTCAAATTCCCCCAAACATGGGGAAACCCAGGAATAGCATCCCGCTGTCCCTTTGCCCTGCTTCAGGTGCACCACGGGCTGAACGCTGATTTGGGACAGGCATCGCTGGGGGCTGGCAGCCCCCTCCACCCCTTGACATAAGGTTGTCATGGACTGACTCACCGCCGCACCTCAGTGATGGCTGTGGGTAAATTTAGCTCTGGTGACACACGCCTGACCCAGAGGGAACTCCTCTTATAGCACAGAGGGAAACCGCCCGCGTCCCAGCGCTGCACCACCGGAGCACGGGGACGCACCGCCCCACCTCACACCTGCACTGATAACATGGCCTGATGCTGCACAGTTACCCTGGAATGGAATTAATTTTCGTGCTGTCGCGGCTCAGCCCTTTTTTGGGGCTCCTCGCAGTTCCTTTTTTTCCACCTGCGCTGTTCCTGCAGAGCTCCAAGCGAAGGCGGCCGTACGAATGTGACGGCTCAGCAGCATGGCACCAACACAGCCAGCTCAGCACGGGGTTGGGGAGCAGCTCGGGTGCCTGGGCAGTGCTGGAAGGAAGTTTCCACTGCACAAACAGCAGCAAAATGGGACCAGTAGGGTCTGCAACGTGCAGCAAGAGGCCACCAGCTCCTCCCCGTGCATCTTCAGCAAGATGCAAGCTGAAGGATTCCGATTCTTCTTCCAAGAGCACTGCATGGGATGGGGGTGGGCAAGGAGGGTGAGAAACAGCACCCGAAGAGGTTGCAATCTGCCTTCCAGCACTGCTGAGCAGACACTGCACTGTGCATCAGGGGGTGAGGATTCATACAGACCTCAGCGGCAGTTCTGGAGAAGAAAACAGTGAGAGGACCACAAATGCTGCTTCAAATGGTGGAGGGACTCTGATTGCAGCCAGAGCTCTCCTCCTTTACAAGCAGCGCTACCAAAAGCAAAGCCTCAGGGTCCCATTAGGAGCAAGGAATGGCAGCAGGAAATGGAGGAGCTGAGCACACACACCACGCAGTGTGCTGGGAGCTGGATGGTTAAAAATGTATCTGGAGCTTGTGCCACTATAAATTATTGACTGTACAGGGAGCTGGAAAAAAGGATTCAACCCCATTAATAATTTACCTCCTAATCCAAACGAAGATGGAATTTTATGCACCACTTATTACCAGTGCAGCAACTGGGAAAATGAATGGCGCTTCCCGTCTGCAGGCAGAACAGCTTCTGTGCATCCAGAACGATCCCGGAGTCGGCTCTCCAGGCAGGAACACTCAGAGCTGCCCTGAAGGAAGAACTGCTCACCCCCAGCAGCCTGGGGGCACACGAGGGATGCAGGGATTCATCATTACTGCACGGCCCCCCACGCAGGGGCAGCTCCCAGCCAACAGCTGCCTTGTCTGTGGGTGCTGTTGAGATGCACTGCTCTGTGGCTGTGGGTTTCCACACCGCTCACACTGAGCTCCAAGTGCAGCTTCACACCTGGTGCTGTGCTGTGAGGTGGGAGCAAAGGAACCAAACCACAAAGCAGATTAAAAAAAGGGAAGAGCAACACCTCCTATAGTCTGTCAGCTGCACATTGGCCCCAGTTTGGGCACGCGTTTGGGAAACCGTGTTTTAAACCATGGATAATCACAAACCTTCACAGAGCTCACCTTGAGAGAAGCCCATTGCGGCACAAAAGCAGAGAACAAACCCGTGTGTACACCTAGGGTCAATCCCAAACTGCAGAGATGAGCTCTGCAATGTCTGCATCTTCACTGGAGCCGGGGAGGGAGAAGTTGCCCCGGGGAAAGAACCAAGCACCCTGCTTAGAGTTCTCATTTATTATTAAATTACATATCAAAGCTCCGTAATTACATCCAGAGAATGCACAATAGGTGAAAAGTAATTACAGATACAGTAAGTTTCAAGCAGCTCTGTGAAAAGCAAAAAGAATCAGAAAGTGCAATCAGAAATGAACTTACTGAAGTCCGGACTGGGATGTTTTGTCAGAAAGGTTCTGTCGGTGACGGTGGTTTCGTTTTGAGGGAATGTTGATTTAAACCACTTTCCTCACTCTGCAGGGCGCAGAGGACAACCAAGAGCTGAGCACAGCGCTGGGTTCGTGCACCCAGCACACACAGATCCCAGGATTCCTGATGTCACCCAGAAAAGGGCTCAGTTCAGTCCCGCTGTGCTCCCCTTGGCTGTGCATTGCCAAATAGGCCCGCCGTTCCGAGGGCTGCCATAATCCAGCACTCTTAGAAGGAGTTTCAGAATGATTTCTTCCTGTCGCCCCTCCTGTCTGCTTCACATGAAAGGTTTTTGGAAAAAAAAAAACAAAAACCTAAGAAAAAGTTACGCATGGAATGATCTCAGCAAACTGCTGGATGCGGGGAGGCCCGATGAACCCAACCGAACGGGAGTTCCCCAGCTGGGAATGGCAGAGCAGTTTTGGGCACGTCGCTCCTGGAAGGGTCAGCACAGAGCTGGAACTTTCACATCATGTACAAACACTTCTGCTCTTTTATTTTCAGTGCCCTGTGAGGAACTGGTTCTTCTCACAGCAGCCTTAAGACCTTCAAAAGAGAGAACTTTCAGAACTACGTAAGGCTCTGCTTGATCAGTGTAACGAACCCAGCAGGAGCTTACAGCACGCTGATACCGGAAGCTCATGAGCTCAGTATTGACCACAAGCACCCACTGTGCCTTCCCACAGCAGCAGAAACCCCCACGTCCTCAGTTCTGCCACAGCAATGCTCAGTGCTGAGCAAACACACAGCCAGCGCTCCAGCAAACGGAGCAGGAGGATCAGAAACAGCACAGACACGAGCGCTGGGGTCAGCCTGAGGGACCAGAAGTTACCAGCAGGACCTGGCCGAGTTCCTACATTGCAACTCTGCTGGGAATTCCAGGAATAAAAACTGTTTAACACCACATTTTCCTAAAGATTCAGAAGAACTGCATGGAAGGACCATAGCCAGCATTTCCAGTCAAGCTTTATCAGAGATAATTCAGCATATTTGTCTCGTACTGAAATAAATCAGTTCCTCCGAAGCATCTTCATAACATGAAAAAAAAAATCAATCCTGTTGACACATTTGTTATAATTACATACTTTCCATAGCAGCTTTTTCACACAATAAGATTAAATATATGCACCAAATCATCAATTAAGTCCAGTAAAAGACGGGTTACCAGATTAAGGAAATGAATTTATTTCTGTTACTGCAGATCTGAGTGCCCTCTATAGAGCAGCCAAATCCTACAGATCCTAAGCAGGCGCACGGCTGCCAGCTGGGGTCCTGCCTGGGGTGGGACGGGGGAGATAAGGGCTGATCTCCCAGCACACAGCTTCATTAATGAACTCCCTTTATCCATCAAGGTTTTTCATAAACCCTTTTAATAAACGCTTCATATCAAACCAGGAACATTCTCAGATCAACCAAATCAGCCAGACACAAGAGAAGCACTACAGCACTGTGACTGCCCCACGAGGCTTTGTTCCATAGAGGACAACCTGGAGGCTACCTGACATCCGTGGCACACGTGGAATCTCTCAGGAATGCTGTCAGAGAGCTGATGGAGCTCCTAAAGACATTCCAGTGCTTCAGCTGGGATTCGCTGGGTTATCACACAACGGATGGAGAAAAAGCAGTTGAAAGAGCAGAAAGAAAAAAACCATCGTTCGTGGTTCTGCAACATCAAAGCCCTTCCTGCCACCAGTCATCAATGCAAAACACCAGGGTTTGCGTGCCTGGATGAGGAGAACTTCCCCAGATAACAGTAAATAAAACTCGGTTTGTTATTTTACATTCAACTCTTCACCAGGAGGAGGTGTGTCCAAAACTTCTGCACTCAGATGCATTTGCCTCAGGTAGAACCATCATCATTTTCACTTCCAATTGACAGTGTAGATTATATCTTACTTACAGTGTAAAAATATTAATGCTATTAGAATAACTTTATGTAAATTACAATATACACTTCTCAGTCGTTGTCTTTATAAAGACCTCTATGATGTCAGCCAAAATCCAAGTACTGACACCCAAAGGCTGCTCTTAGGTGAACTCACGTTTGGTCACTTTTCAGATGACTGAACACTACGGTAAGGAGCTGCGAGGGCACTGTGCTCCCTTTTTACAGAAGAGGACCTGTCTGTCCCTTTAAAGCCACAAGAAACCTTATCACTGTTCCTCAGAGGGCAGTTTATTCATTTTCTGTGCAAAAAGCGAATGGAGCAATCCTTGTCTTCTTTGAGGAGTTTGTGTGAAGCACAGTTTTCACAGCACAAACGATGTAGAAATAGCTATTACCTCAACCATGGGTTAAAAAGAATTACAGAACGTGTATCTAGTAGTGAAGCAACCTGATGGCTTAAAGCTGCAATATTCTTCTGGTAGGACAGCGGTGCCCAGAAGTGCCTGCAGGCAAAGCAGGGTTCCTGCAGTTCCCACCTGCTGGCCAGCAATGCACCTCCCAGCACCACTGGGCACAGGAGCTGCTCTACTGCTGTTGTTAAGTGGCTGTATTTACTTACCTTGCAATGAGAAAGGGGCTAAAGGAGGAAAAAATTAAAAACAAAACAAAACAAAAAAATCCCCCACCAAATTTAACCAAAGGAAGATGTATGGCAGGGAAGGAGAAACACCGCAGCTTCAACCCCAAACCAGTGCTGCAGTCTATCATCATCAACTCTAGACATCATGCTGACGGTCCCAGGCAGGGGGAGCAGGCTGATGGAAGTCCATCTCTTCCCCCGCTCGCTTTTCCTTGGCTGGGGGGAGGGATGGTGGTGATGAGTTTAGCAGAGTCCACGGGGGAACATCCATCAATGGAAGGCAAAGAGCAGCAGCAGGATGGTGCAGATGCCAATGATGCTGCCCAAGATGAACGAATCCCGTCGTTTCCGAAGGTTGATCCTCTGGATCAGGCTGTTCACCGCTGGGAACCGGTCTTTAAGCAGGGTGAGTCAAGGTCACACCAAAAGCACAGCCACCTATTGAACCAGCCCCAAATGCTGTGCAAGTCAGCAATGCCATGAGGTACAGAACTACCCCCAAGCTGGAGAAAGAAGATGCAATCAGAAAACCAACAAGATGAGCAGGATTACAACTGTACTTTGCTAACAAGGCAGAGAAACTGTGATCTAATAATCAGAGGAGAGTGAATGGAACAGGTTAGAGTTCACATGTACACAGAACTCAGTAGCTGATCACCTAAATTACCAGTGCTTGGTGTCATCTCCACTATGAGGCTTTTTTACTTTTAATGAGTATGTTTAAATGGAAAAATAAAAAGGGGGGAGGGGGGTGAAACTTTGGTGATGTTTATTTAATGGAATAGTTACTGGCTAAGGGAACAAGCAAAGGCATTTGACAGAGAAGCATGCACGTTGCATGAATATGCACTAATCCCTGCACAGCACATGAAGAACTCCTCCTACTGTCAAATCATACTAATGTCAATCTAGCCTAAGCTAAGAAACCAAAATCTTAACATCTGCATGCCTGTGACAGACAGAAGGATCCTCAGGTGATGAATACTGAGCTATAAATGATACCAAACAGCAGCAGGTGCTCCGACCTTGAAAGCCAAAACCAACACAGAGTTGGAAAGGTAACAAATGCTGTTATAGGTCTCTACGTGAAAAATGTAGACATGGGTCTATAGGCAGGGTTCAGAGTTGAATAAAACCAATTTGCTCATCACATCTGCCAGTTAGATTAAAAAAACAACCACAACCCAACAAGACACCGTAGGTTATGCAGCTGTTGGCATCCCAAAGCATTTTGATCCCTGAATCAATGGCATCCCGAAAAGAAGTTACTGTGCCTCTTTCCTAAGCATTGGCAGCACAGTTTTCTTAAGGAAGGATACTAGCCAAGGTATTCATCTTGCTCTGTATTGACTTCAACATCCCTCTCTGCGAAGTCATATTTTCTTTCGTTGCCATGGCAATGCTGGAAAAAGAAAAGAGTGGATTGAGTTGCTGGTGCTAAGAATAATCCACAGTTAAAACAACAGGAAAGCGAGCAGGCAACACCTCTCTGCAGAACAATGAATGAGGTGAAGCAATGTGAATGAAGCAACATTTGGTTCCATTAATCTCTCCCTTTTACCCTTACATGATTTCTTCTTGTAGAAGCCATTAACAACTGAAGACGACTCTTTGAACAAGGATTTGGTGCACCTGCACCCCCAGTAAGAAATGAGTTCCATTCCCAGCAGCCTAAAGGTGCCCTGCCAGACTACACTGTAAACTGGGAAGCTTGCTGAATCAAACAGATCCCAGCTCCAGCTGAGTGCACAAAGCTTGGGTTCTTCTGATTCGTGTCCCACAAAGTCCAACGTTGCTGTTTTCTACAAGCTGGTGTATCACTGAACTGTACCAAATGACACTGCCATCACAGCAGTTAAAAAAATCACATTTTTGACCCTCACTCCTACTTAATGTCACACTAGGAAATACATTTCCATACTGCTTCTTCAGTAAGACTTGGTCGACCCAGACGCGCTCGGTTCAAATATCAGAGCACAATACAAGGGAACATAAAATCAATTCCAAGTACAAAACATTCTGCAAGTTGGAGAGCAGCAACTATTCTCTTTAAATGATAAAGCATGTAAAAGAAGATTTTGGAGAAATACTCAGCTGACAATTTTTCTTTTTTTTGAACCTGAAGCATCTCCTCAGCCCATAAAACCAAGAGCTCTACCATAGACAACAGAAGGGCCGGCTGATACATGCAGTCCCAGTGATGCCCCATGCAGCCACACTGAATGCAAGAGCTCTGTCTTGACAAGCACTCATTGACACATAGAGGTACATAAGAGTTTAGAGTCAGGAGCTACAGCACTTAAGAAGGAAGAGTTTGAGGAATGCTGCTCTCCTTGGCTGGTGTGAACTGCAAAAAGAAGAGTAGAACATCCATAGATGCTGTGGGGTTACAACTCAGAAGATGACATTTGCTACTGATGACACATGTGTGATTAACAGTGATTAAAAGGAGCTCCTGGATAAGTTTCTAAGCATTAAATATGGAGGGAAACTGTTCTGGGAGAATGAAAGTTAACTGGAACATCGTGATAAACAGGGAAATAGGAGGGAGCTAAGGCTGCAATGTGATAGGAAAGTGAACAGATAGGAGAAAAGTATCCTTTACCAAAGACAGACATCCAAACTTACACGAGCATCTTCTGCTTGCTCATTCTCAGTGCCTGAATCATCCCACGTACCACTGCCTTCTCCACCAGGGCACTGCAGCCAACCACAGCATCTGGCAAATCCAGCAGAGCTGAGCCCAACAGTGGCCCTTTCAGACCTACAGCACAAGGTCACTGCCACAGCTGAGAGACACCTGAAGGAAACAGCCTGGATCAATGAGCCCTGAGTATGTCTGCAGCACTAAGTTCATTCGGGCTCCCTTCCATTGTATCTGCCAACTCCACCTCCAGGAGACCTTCAGGCAGCATCTCTTGCCTTCCCACTGTGTGCCAGCCAAAACTGGGAAAAAACAAACAGCCCAAAAACATAAAAGGAAAAAATCTGCATCCCTCTCTTTAGGTGGAGGATGCCTTTTCCAGCCCCCTTTCTGCAGTTTGAGATGTATTTCAAAACAAAACAGAACAAACAGAACTCTGACACAATGGATGCTCCTGGGCATACTAAGATCGACCTTCATGCACTTGATGGCTTTGAGTTGTTTCACGCAGTGTCTGATCAGCACAAGGTGAAACTGGAGCAGGGCCTCCTTGGGGTTCAGGAGGAGGTGCCCATCCATCAACCTGTGCTGCTCTTCTGTACAAGCAGAACTGACCAAAGCAGCTCCTCTTGCTTTGTACAGGTCCAGGCATTAAGCAAAGCCTGTTTGTTGCTGTGGATCCACCAACTCACCTGCTCTGTTGACACAACTGATCTGTGTGATTACATGGAAGAGTCATTTTAGGACTCAAATTAAAACTCAGACAGAAAGCACTGTTCTTCATGCACCGATCACCCAAAATATTGCCTGGTTTACCTGAGCCTTTGTACTTGTGAACCTGAGACTACTGCATTTAAGCCCCACCACAATGGCAATGCACAGCCTCTGGGAACCAGTCCTTCTGTTTCCGCACTCTCAAGCATGTAGGCATCCTCATACTCTTCATTAAACAGCTCTGCTTCCATTCCCACCCCCAGCATATGCTCGTTAACTCACTGCTATCATTTGTTTACTGACAAATGTCTTTTTTTTTTTAATTAAAAAAAATGAATCCTCTTCCTGCTCACAGCACTGCTCCCATTTGGTCACTTGACACAGCAATCTCTCCAGATGAAGAATTACTTTTTCTTCCATTTTGAGACTTCTAGCCAACATTTATGACATAAGATTGAATCCTTCCTTCAGGAATCCACCTGCTCCCTGGTAGATCTAATTCTCAAACTCACTCAGCAGAACGACACAGAATTAAGGCTTAAAAGTGCACTTTTCTTCCCAACAAAACGCTGATCATTTCTCACGGCATTCTTGGAGATGATGAACGTTGATCCTCCAGCTTTCCCAAGCTCCCACAGGAAGTTTGGTTCTCAATTGTTCCTGACTGATTGCCAATGATAAGACATCTCTGCTAAGCCCACGTTACAAGAGTGGCAGCATTGATGAAAACTAAGAATTAATATCAGGACTGCACTGCTTAAAACATCTCCCCATGCCACAGCGCTCACTGCAGCACGAGCTTTTCTCAGCTCAGCACTGGACTGAGGCAGCAGGGATGGCTGGGTACCTTTACCCCACGTAGCAGCCATTCAGATACAGTGTATCAGCCAACCAGATCTTCCAAAAATCAGCTCCTTGTTTCACTTACACAGCTCAGCCCCATCTGTATGAGTGCAGAACTAAGACAAAGCTCTGAAGGAACAAGACACGCTTTTAAAAATAAACTCACGTGCTACGGGAAGTTCTGCTTCACTTTGTGCTTCATGAATCATGCTTGCTTATTTAAATGCATGACAACATCTGTGACTGAGGGAATGGACTCAGTGACTGTGCACAGAAATGCAAGCTCTGCTGCTAAATCGATAACAATTATGACTACATTGCTTGTTCTTTGTGTACACATACACACACACATACAGGCATATCCATACACACACACAGCCTTTCCAACTTCACTACACATCATCGTGCCTTCTGCTGAAGGCTCAGATGAAAACCTAGGAAATGCTCCCCCAGAAATGAGTGTGACTGCACCCAGATCCTGCAGGCTCCCCTGAGCAGAGCTGCAACTCAAAATCCAACTCCTACCTCCCCATCCTGTGAAGCCAGGACTTAACACTACATGATTTTTCCCTTTTATTAAATCCTAATTGTTACCCAGAGGAATGCCCCCTGTATATACACAGACATTTTCTACTTAGTTATTCAATTTATGGGTTTGGTCAAAGCAAAAATGCTCGAGTCCATCCTGCCAATAGACAAAGCCTGACAAGTGAGCCTGAATCAGGCACCAGAAGGAATATTACAATGAATTCCTAGCAGCTGGTCACACTGTGCATGCCAAACTGTAGCAAATTGTCAAAGTGAACCAACCTAAAAATATAAGCTGTTGGAAAACAAGAAATAAATCATTTGCTATTCTGAGAAAGCGATAATGTTTGAAAATGAAAACCTGAGAACACCAAACATATTAAGCAGAATCTATGCTTGTATTTAAATATATCCAAGACAAGTGAACACAGTTCCAAAGGAACTGCAGTACAAACTATCACTTCCCACTCCTTTCTGGAAAGAAATATGCTGCAGTTAACAGCCATGTCACATAATTCATTTAAAAATCTCATTATAAGGTTCATGCTAACACAACATCTGGAATGACAGCTGCAGCACCTATGCATCCTCTTGCAGGTCTGCTTGCTCCATAGAAGAACCACACACAATGCCCTTCTTCAGTGCACTGCAAGTCAGAGCAGGAATATCACACCTGGACACCTCCAGCTACTGGGGGTGACAAAAAAAATCACCCTGGCTTCATCAGAGGCAGAACTGAATCAAGGGGATCTAAATTAAACTGCAGTGTGTGATGTGTGTCGTTACCCAACTCTTTCTCTACAAAAAGAAACGTAGAACATTTTTGGCAATGGCTACACGAAATCTGTTTACTACAGGTAACAAATGGTGCAACAAGGAGCTGAGATCCAGCCTCCTAAAATCATAGCTCACCTGCTGGCAGAAGGAAAGCTTTCTGCATCCAGCAGCAAGGAGCTCTGAGCTGAGCCAGGCAGTTGGGTCTGTGGCATGAGAAGCCATTCCTGGTTGATCCACAGTCAACCGCAGGTCTGCAGCTCACCCAAGTGGAACTCCAAGCCATTTCACAGCAGGCAGGTCACCTCCTGATGATGCTGTGGCTGGGACACCACGGGGCTGGCTCACAGCTCGTCAAGGAACCCAGGCTACACACAGGTAGGTGCCCTGTTTGAGCCCCAGCTTGCAAGGCAATCCACTCAGGACTTCACTTATCTTGTACTCTCATGCTCCTCAGTGACACGTAATCAGGAGGCCAGGGGAAGAGCTCAAATAATACGAGTCATTTTGCAGGATATCAAGCTTAATAAGTCATCACTGGCTTTATAATGCTTTAGTTATGAGAATGTTTGAGCAAGGAGAGCAAGAAGAGATCTGACAAACACTGAGTGCGCTTATGAGGTGGAAAAGTAGGGCTACAAATATGGCAATAAAGGAGAGGATGTTTAATCAGGAGAAGATGAGAACCAAAGTAAAGTGAAGACTCACAACATCCGTGCTCAGACTGGCAATATCTTTATGAGCCTGAGGAGAGACTTCATCCACGTTCTCAGACATTACAGCAGTGACCACTTCTGGTTTGTCACAGCACATTAACGTGGTGGTTTAACACATTCTTCCACCATGTTAATTATACTGAGCCCACTGAATGTACTTAAGCTAGCCAGCCTTTAATGGACACAGAGCCTCTAATTACTCCTCTTCATCACTTATGCCAGTACATGCATTATCTGAAACCATATCTTGCTTGCTTTCTTTTTTATTTTTTTTTTTTTTTTTTTTTTAAGGCAATAATCTGAGACTTCAAACCATTAAGTCAGGCACTCTGAATTATTGGTTTTCAAAATCTCAGAGTTCAATGAAAGATTAGGAAGGGCACAGAGGATAAAAATAATTTGTAATGCTACGATTCTAAGATTTCTAGATCAGTTAGAAAGGCAGCACTTAAATATTCACACGAAAACCAAGGAATAAGTAACTATGCAGCAGCAACAGTCACTCCAGCCCATGAGGTCCAAGGGCCTACCAATATCAGCTGCATACTGGGATGATGAACACGTCCAAGGACTACAGAAAATCATGCTGCAGGAGAGTAACCCTGAGAAAAAACAGCCCCACTACTGGAATGGCCCTCAACAACTCAACCTGAGATTCCCTTTGCTCAGCCATCCTCGTTGTTGCCATAGAGGGTATTCATCTCTGAACAGAAATCCAAATTTCCCAAATTAGGCTGAATAAAATATTCCGGTAACACCATTATGTCAATGTTGAATAGTAAAAATAAAACCCCACTTCACTGTAACACAAGTTATGAACAATACAGTTATTGTATAAAGAAAGTGACTGAGACTTCTGGGCACAGTGCAGTGCAAATACTGACTGTACAGAAAATAATGAGAATTAGTAAATTCATCCCTACCTTATTGTTTCTTCTATCAGCCGATCTGAGCTGAAAGCCAAGAAGAAAAAACAAAGTTAAAAAAAGGAACAAGCACTCAGTACTTCTGATCGTTACACCAGTGATTTCCACGGCATAATCCTTCACAAATGTACCCCAGTAAGTCTTGTTTCAGAGCACAGTTGCTGCTCACTACAACACAGATCTGGCACACATTCAGTGAGAGTTCTGGAGAAGAGACACAGAGCGTCCCCTAGAGCAGCACCCACCAACTATAAGCAAGGTAGGACCTCTGAGACCCCACGTCCAACCCAAAACCCCACCATGCTCACTGCCATGATCCCAGCACGTCTCCATGGCTCCTGAACACCTCCAGGGACGGAGACTCCACCAGAGCTGCTACTTCTGGCCCTTGAAACATGGAGACAGCACACAGAGTGCTACAGATATTTTGCCCAAGCTGGAGTTGGGGACCCAACTGGGGTCAAACTCTGAGAACATTGGAACTGGAACACTTCATTCTGCTCCCAAAACAAAGGCATGCTCCAAAGAGCCAGATCAGCTGTGAGTTGATTGGTTTAATGAAGCAAAGCTGTTTTCACCCACTGTGGGGTATTTATTACCAGAGGCACAGAGAACTCAAACGACAACCCAAAGCATTTAATTGGTGCTGGAAGTCACAAGATGAATGGTTCTCAACTTACAAGGCAGTCCTCCTGACTATTGAAAAGGATGAGCTGCATACGAACTGTGTTCTGAACGACTGATGCGCAGGAAGGGCAGACTGACTCACACATTCTCATTAAATAAACAGCTGCAAAACAGACGGGTTTGCTGAACACATCTTCCAGCATGTCATTCCTATTGCCTCTTCTGAAGGCTCTGAGAGCACCTCCAGCACTGCACAACCTCATGGTTATAAAAAATAACAGCCAGGTTTAAGGAAGCCCAAAAGCACAGTGGGGAGCAGAGAACCAAAGCCTGACCGAGGGAGGGTGAGTGGAGGGGATGCTTACAGATGTCTGACTATCAATATTCTGTTTCACACCGATCTCACAATTATAAGGTCAAATTTTAACTACTTGACAGAATCAAAAGGCAAAACACTGAAAAAGGTAACCCTGTGCATCTTACACATCCTAAACATTATGGAGCTCCTCGGAAAATCTCCTTTTTATTCTTCTGCTTTCCAAGCAAAGACAACAATTCCAGTGGACATTGCCTTACGAGCATCCAAGCAGGAGATCGCTCTGGGCAACATTAATCTGCCCTGCCATATGTTTCAGTAAGCTGGGCACTTTCACCTGTCGAGACAGATGGCACTTTGACCAAGTCATTTAAAAATACTATGCAAAGGAATGCTAAAAGATGCTGAGGTCATCACCTACCGCAGTAAGGGGCACAGATCCAGCAGCAGCAGTCATGAAATAATCAGGCCTCTGTGCAACTGTTATCTTCAGAAAAGACTGGGCATGCAGTTCATCATTTAAATACGTGGACAGGTGATTTTTCCTCTGGGTTAACTTAGGTAAAACAGGCTTCTGGGATAGAAGAGCTGTGTGCCCATTACACCTAGCTTTTAAAATTATTTTTCCTTCTCTTTTCTTTTTTCTTTCTTTATAGAAGTACCAATTTTACTTTGCTCTGACTGTAAGATTCAGCAATAGCCTTCGCTCCCCCAAGCTGCTCGCACCAAATCTTTTCTATTTTCACAGTCCTGAATCACCAGGCAACGTGGAGCTTTAAGGAATGCAAATGTTGCAGAGCATACTTGATACTCTAATACAACTCGGCAGGTTATGATGAAGCAAATCATACTTACACAGATATTCCCATCATAGCCGTTCCTATCTCACAAATGAAACACCATGAGAACCCCCCAAAAAACAGCAATGCTTCAGCGCCATCGAGATTCCAAAGCACTGAAGAAGTTCTAAATATTATTAAGCTCTGTAAAAACTTAGTAGAAAAAGGTGAAGTGGAATTTAGTCCTCCCTGTGATAACAATTAGATATTCCAGATTTTACCACACTCGTATCAAGCTTGATTCACTTCAATGCCAAAGAAAGAATTGTGCTGGAGGTGCATAGCTAGTACAGACAAGGATGCTAGGGAAGATAAAAACTGCTGCAGAAGCCTCACTGACTGGGGCCAACACAAGAGCATGGAGTCAAACACACTGAGGGGATATGAGACCTGAGGAGAGAAAAAGAGAAGCACTCAAGGCCAGGCTGCTGAGCAACCTGGGCTTTAGGGAGGAATTCCTGCCTATTGCAGGGGGATTGGAACTAGATGATTCAAAGGTCCCTTCCAACCCAAACCATTCTATGATTCTATGAAAACGAACAGCAGAGGTCTGTGCAAACAACAAAAAACTGACTCCTGTGTTGGTAGCGAAGAGCAGAAGTAGCACCTGCTATGAATACACAGCAGAGAGCAAAAAGAGTCCATTTGCCTACTAATACTCATCTTAAATTGCCAGTGAGAGAAGAGCAGGTTGGCCAAAAACAAAGACTTGGGGTGAATGGGCATCGCTAGGGACAAACATTCCGAAAGCAGAAAGGTTCCAACACCCACACAACCAGTGGGCTCCCTTGGTTCGTTAACAGCAGCACCAAGCCAGGTGCTCAGGAGATGCAAGGCTTTCACACTTCCACTTGCAGTAGCCAAAATGAAATAACAGCCCACAACAACACAACAAAAACCAGCACAAGTACGAGCATTATGTTCATGTATAGATTTGCCCTGAAGGAACAAACTGTTAACAGTGTAAATGTCACTGTGCCTTCAAGCTCTACGCATGTAAGCGATCTTATTCCTGTGGATCACTGTGTGACACTCAGCAATCGTGTTCAAAAAGAAAGAGGAAGAGCTGCAACATTGGAAAGGAGAAGAAAAATCATGACAGCACATCATCATGTTGCTCTTAAGTCAATGCAAGCAGTTTGTTAGTCTAAATGAACAGAAACCACTGCTCCAGGCAGGAGGCACCAACGTAATGGTGTTGGGTTTCCTTCCAGATGCTTCACATCCACCCTGTACATGTGCAAACAGCACGTAAGAGGTTAGAGACAGCACAACAACCAATCTGCAGTCCTGTGATAAAGAACTCATTAAAATCAGACTCCTAACGACATCATTAAGTAAATACCTCAACAGCGCGTTGGTTACAGCGAGAAGAGCCTATTGGATCTGAACTAAAGCTAAGCTAACACAGCTCTGCAGCTATCTAACACCTGTAATTCTGCCTACACCAGGACTGCAAATAATAAAAAGATTTTTCTCTAAGGCTGTTTAGAAAATGATGCAAGGGATGCCATGGCTTTGGGGTGGAGCTCCATTCAGAAGCCAGAGCACGCTGTTTGTCTGGGATCTCTAAAGGGCACAGCCCACACCTCCCCTGCACTCCATGTATTTGTCTGAGAACTACCAGCAGAGTAAAATAAATGTTTCTGCAAAAAGAGGAGTTAGCCAAGAAAGCTCTTTGGCACACAGAAGGACTACTGTGAGTGCCTGATGTCTGAGAGTCCCAGGAGGGTGAGTAACAGCAATACTCCTTCCTTTAAAGCAGATCTATAAGGAAATAAGAGGCTTCTCAATAATCTGCACTATCCAGTTTACCCAAAGAACGCAGTTAAAAACTTAAAATGAAAACAGCTCCTATCATCTAAATGAAGTGCAGCAGCTGGTTGCCTATTAGTAAGCATAAAACCAAAGCCAGGATGGCACCAAGAGCCACATCACGAAGTTTCTAGAGGCTCTCTGTCCACGGTTGGGAAAGTTCCTGGATAGATTGACCCTCCTGTGTAATTGCTCCCTATTACCCATAGGAACAAAGTTAAATGAACGGAGAGGGCAGGCCTTACTGTAAGTCATTATCAGTAACCACAGCTGTCAGAACAATTCCAGTAACTTACTAATGGGCTCTATCGGCATCTCCTTGGACCCAGCATCAGTAGTAGAGCAGTTTGCACTATTTCCTCTGGTTTATGTGATGCAGTGTAAATTATACCTTTAATCAAGGGGGAAAAAAAACCCTCAAAACCAAGCAGCACCTGTAAGAGCACACAGCCTTCAGTGTCCACCACCAAGGTGACAGAAGAGAGGACACCAAGATAGCCTGTCAGCAGTGGTGCGTTGGGCACAACGAGGAGATCGATGCACCATGAAACCCAGTACTGCAACAAAAAAAGGCTGTGCCACTTCTCCACCTCAACCTCTTTTCCTAAGACTGGAAAAACTGTCCTACTACTCACACACCCATGAAGGCAAAAAAAGGAAAGCCAAGGAGAACGGCTTCCAGAGGAGCCTGGTCACACACCTTGGTATTTAATACCTCAAGTGTCTTCTTAATTTCCAGTGAAGCTAGCACAGAAACAAAGTGAGAATTATCCCTGAGATGACAACCCAGTTTTATTTTAGTACGAAGCCTAAAATACACATTGGGTTTCTGCCTCCTAACTCTGCTGTGGTTTTGAGGTTTTTTTGGTAGGTGTAGGAAGATACACAGCCTCCATTTAGGACCTGCTCAGAGCACCTGAAGTTAGAACTACTTACCTGCTTCTTATGCTTCAGGAAAGGATTCCTGCAAATATGTGTTTTAATATATAATGATGTTTTAAACCTCAGCAGGTGGGAGGCAATGCTTGATGTCCAGTAACCCCGGGTGCTGGGACACCTGCAGTGCCTTCTGCACAGCAGCAAGGATGATGAGCACCTCATTGTGAAGCAGTGGTACAGAGGTTCAAATAATAAACTCAACAATGACAATCACACAGTAATGTAATTTTCCAAGAGATATAATATCTATTCCTGAAAAAACAGAAATAATCACTGCTTAATGTATCCATACACACACATCTATGCAAACCAACATATCTTCTGGTAATCACAACAGCAGGAGGGGTCCATTTCTCTGGAAGATGTTTGCTTCATAAAACATTTCTATAGGGAATATCTGCATTAGAATGCTTTCTAGAATGCTGTAAGCATCAGGAGTAAACTTGTCTTAATTTTAAAACCGTTTCCTTCTCATAAATGGGGATATTAAC